CAAAGGATCCTAGTTTCTATGGTCTTTTACACCAAATAAGCAACCAATTACAATTAGAATTATTGAATTAGGTGTCCTTTTTTACTTAGATTAGAAGGTTTCTTGAAATATACAAATTTTAGTCTTCTTTCTCAAATACAGTTTGACTTTCTATTTTCTTGATAACTTCTATTCTAACTTGGTCCGCCCTCCTTAGTCCCTCAACTCAAGTACAATCTCTAATACAATTTGACTCTCAAGAATAAAAAATTTGAAATTTCAAGTTCTCAAGTCTCAACTTCAAGACATCACTCGAACTTGGTTCTCCCAACTCCCATCTTCTCATTCTCTCAATCCCAGATGCTTATCAATTTGTCTTCTTTTTGTTGTCTTCACTTCTAGCGAGAATAAATTCTCAAACTGACAACCCAAACTTGCACTACACAGGCACATGGGGGCATGGTTGAACTTAGAGCCGAAACCGACCCAGCCCGACTCAAACCGACCAGGTCGGTTTTGCTTAACACAAGGCCTGTTTCAGTTTCAATTTCAGGTAACCCGACCAGGTCGGGTCGGTTGGAAAAGTCTCAGTAAACCGACCCAACCCGACCCGTGAACAGCCCTAGTTACTTTTTACATTATACTTCTTTGTTTAATAAAATTTCCATTTTATAGAAAAAAAGAATGAAAGAATGTTCAGTGAATGAGAACAACCACTGGGAAATGTGTTGAACAGCTTATAATTTGCACCCACCTTGTGATGTATCCCTACTTGGAAGAGGTACAAGAAAAAATTTAAATAGGATATCTTGTACTTGTTCTACCCAGAAGTGAAGCCCCAGTAACCAATTCAAAACCCCTTTACTAACACTCAAAGATAAAATATTTGTTTTAGGTTGCAACATGGCCAGCAAACAACACGTACTTGAGACAGGCTCTGCTGAATGCTTATGAGATACATATGAAATCTGTTAGTATCTAGCCAAGTTACTTGAACATGCAATTTGTACCAGTAGGATCTGGAGCTGAGAGTAATGGAACAATTCTTTTGAGGTTATAGGCCTTGACTAGAATTGGGATTATGATGGCCTGGGTGAGCTTCTGCAAAAGGTTTAATAGAAGCATGAATGCTTTATCCACTATGAGGAATCTGTGAAACAGATCTATCAAAAGCTAGCACTTATTTGCTAGTGGTTATCTAATGCCTTCATCTGATAGGCAGATCCTTTTGATGCTTTATAATTTCTATTAGATATTCATGGTATTTAATCCGAGTGCCGTTTTGATACAGTGAAATACAGGTGCTTGAATTAGGTAAAATATATATGGTGTATGCTCTTTGAGGAACATGTGAGGCTTAGGGGTGAGAGGGATAAAAGGAACGAACCTGTCCCTAATGGCTAAATGGTTCTTGAGGTTTAGTTCAGAGCCAAAGGCTCCTTGGAGGAGAGTGATATCTGTGAAGTATGTATGGTACAAGGAACAGAGATTGGGACCAAGGTTCGGTCACTAACTCCTATGGTTGTTCCCTGTGGAAAGGACTCAAAAAAATCTTACGATCACTTTATAAAAGGGGTGAGCTTCTGCAAAAGGTTTAATAGAAGCATGAATGCTTTATCCACTATGAGGAATCCGTGAAACAGATCTATCAAAAGCTAGCACTTATTTGCTAGTGGTTATCTAATGCCTTCATCTGATAGGCAGATCCTTTTGATGCTTTCTAATTTCTATTAGATATTCATGGTATTTAATCCGAGTGCCGTTTTGATACGATGAAATACAGGTGCTTGAATTAGGTAAAATATATATGGTGTGTGCTCTTTGAGGAACATGTGAGGCTTAGGGGTGGGGGGGATAAAAGAAATGAACCTGTCCCTAATGGCTAAATGGTTCTCGAGGTTTAGTTCAGAGCCAAAGGCTCCTTGGAGGAGAGTGATATCTGTGAACTATGTATGATACAAGGAACAGAGATTGGCACCAAGGTTCGGTCACTAACTCCTATGGTTGTTCCCTGTGGAAAGGATCCGAAAAATCTTATGATCACTTTATAAAAGGGGTGAACTTTGAGGTGGGGGGTGGTGTTAGAGTTGGTTTTTGGGATGACAACTGGGCAGCAACAGGCCTTCTTAAGGAGGTTTTCCCTTCCCTTTGAGCAATTGCCTCAAATAAAGAATCCACTGTTGTGGATATGAGGTCTTAATGGTTCTGCTGCTTGGACTCCTCACTTTAGGAGAAGGCTGAATAACTGGGAGATTACAACCTTTACTGACTTGTTGGCTTCACTTCATAGCAGCAACATAAACAGGAATCAAAGAGATAAAAGGAGGTGGGCTTTGGAAAAATCGGTCATTTTCTCGGTGAAGCCTTTATACAATCATTTTGTTCACGAAACTGGAAGTAACTCCCCAATCTCAAGAGTGTCATGCAAAGGAGTCCCCTTCAAAAATCTGTTTTATGTTTTGGAAGCTGTACTTGATAGGTGTCTTACAGTGGATGACTTGTTGAAGAGAAGATGCAAAGTAGACAATGAGAATTGCGTTTAGGTTTGAGCTGCAGAGTATCATCTAATCACCTCTTTTGCACTGCAGCTATGCAGCTTCTATCTGGAAAAGAATTCTGGCTACTTTTGGAGTTCATCTTTGCTTCCCTGAATCCACAAAGCACTTTCTAGAGGCTTCACAGCTTAATGGCCTTAGTAGGGCAGTTAAGGCAATGTGGAATATGTGTCCTGCTGCTGTAGTTTGGGCAATTTGGGGTGAAAAGAACAGTCATATTTTTCTAATATAGCAAATGATGATTTAGTGGTGGCAGGGAAGTTAAAGGTTTACTGATTTCTTGGTTTGCTTCAAATTACTATTATAGAGAAGATCTTTTGACAGCTTTTTTTAGAAAAATTTTTCTTTTTGTATCTAATGTGGATATATAGTGGCTTTTTGTATATTCCCAATGTATATTCTCTTGTTGTACCTGGGTGCTGGTTTTGATTAATGAAATTATACTTTACCATTTCTCGAAAAAGGAAAAAAAACAAATTATCTAGTATAAGTTCATTTATGGGATGCAGTTATGGTGTGAGAGTGTATTGCACCTCGATGAAGAACCTCATGGATCCAGTCTTGGCTTGCATACTGATTTCCTGCAAGTATAAACTTGAACCTGCATATTGAGCAGAGTGTTGGCATGGTTTCTCCCAACTACTGTTGATAGTTAGTTATATGGTGTTGCAAACGGAAATTGTTTGGATTGAGTGTAAAAGAGTAGGAATCTGTTGTACAATGGCTTTGCTACCTGAAGAAAGTTTTTTAAATGGTTTCTGGGACTTGACTCTTGTACCAGAGAGAGGTTGTTGGCAGACTTAGTTTATGGATGCAGAAAGGTATAACCATATAAATAATTGTGTAATATCTTAGAATTATCCCTAGGGGTGATGAGTATGATATGCATGTTCTTGCAAGTGAATTTACTTAATCTTCTTTAATGCTTCAATTATCTTTTTTCCAGATAAATGATGTGAAGTTTTGATGGATGAATACTTATGTAAAGGAACCACTAACAGATGCTCAAGTCTTTAAAGAATCTGAAATTACTTATGAAAAACCAAGAGTATTTACATCCTTCTTATCTGAATGAATATAACTTGCTTCATATGTTAATTAACAGAGTGTGTGATATTCGTCATTATCCATCAGCTTTAATATTTTCATGTTGTCCTTATTTTTTTTGATCACCAACAATGACCAAAGAAACTTTGTTAATTTAAACAGATAAGAAATGACTGTGCTACTGAAGAGGCCCAGAAGCAGGGGATCATGATGGCAATGCAACGTAAGACATTTCATCAAGGGGAAAACAGCTATCATTCCATGTGCTGGATTGGTTTTTAGGTTTTGTTCAAACCCATCATGGCCATGTGATCAAACAAAGAGAAACTACAATTCTTCTTCAAACCAATTAAACCGTTTATGATCAGTTTATTTTGGCATTCTTGTTACTCCTTTTATGATCCAAGGTAGGGGCTTGAGCAAACAGATGAATCTATTTTTTTTTTCCTGTTAAATACTTAAATACCAAAAGGCTCCTATTTTATCACTAGCATTATTATTTTCGTTGTCCATGTCTCCCTTGGATGGTAGCATTGAAATATCTAAATTTGCAGATAATGTTAAGGACAAAGCAGATTGGCACCCTTTCCCAGTGCGCTAGGTCTTTTTTTCTCGGTGGTTCACGATGCAGTGCAGCAGATGGAAGTTCATGTAGTTGCACTGAAGATGAAGCTTGTATATCTAGAAGGCAGCAGAGAAGTAATGAGGTTCTACTTCCAGAAAAGACTTCAACCTTAGCATCCAAGTCTTCAACAAAAGCAGGAACTCCAATTTCTGGAGATGCAGTAGGAGTGGTTGTTTATCCTAGGACTGAGAGAGTTTATCCAGCTTCAGTCCCAAAGATTGTAAATGCTTCTGGTAATTCAGAGAGGTCAGATGACACCAGTTATGAAAATGTTGATACTCAGGTTGGTCAGAATGGTTTGGTACGCATACCCTCTCTTGTTACTGACCACTTTGTTAGGGCTGGTTTTGCAACAATTGGATTCCTGTCTGACATGGCAACTTACAAGCATTCAATATCAGATGGAAGTGGGTTGCCTCTCTTGTCCCAGAATTTTATGGTTGATTCAACTAAGCCCATCTCCAACATAAGATCATCAAATGCAAAGCCCCAGAGAAGAGGTGTCTCCAATGTCCAGAGCATACCATCTATTGAGATTGCAAAAGGATCTAGTTCTAAAAGTTACCCTCATGGTTCAAAAGATAGAGGTGAAAAAACTGATTCAATGAAAAGTCTTGACCGTGTTCCAAGCACAGAAGCACGGAATTCTGTCAAAATTCACAGTGTTAATTCAGATACCACTGATGAAAGGCAGTCCATGCCACAGAGATCAAAGACCCATTCTCACCACTTCATTCCAAAGTCCAGGTCCAGGGAACAAACTCCAGAGGTTAATGTTGTGAGAGGCATTTCTGAAGGTAGACCTGCAGATAAGGTTCAGAAGTCCCTAAGATGTGCAAAATTGCCAACAGGAACTGCTCCATTGACCAGGCAGCCCATGAACTCCAGGCATGCTGGGGAGCATGCTTATTATATTTTGCAACAGCTGAAGTGGGGTCCTGCAGCAGAAGAGGCTCTTAGTAATCTCAATTGTGTTTTGGATGCTTATCAAGCAAATCAAGTTCTCAAACAGCTAAAAGATCACTCAGTTGCCCTTGGCTTTTTCTACTGGTTGAAACACCAGGTTGGTTTCAAGCATGATGAACATACCTATACCACAATGATTGGGATCCTTGGACGGTCCAGGCATTTTGGTACCATAAATAAGCTGCTCAATGAGATGGTCAAGGATGGGTGCCACCCAAACGTGGTGACATATAACCGTCTGATCCATAGCTATGGCCGTGCCAATTATATGGACGAAGCTATCAAAGTTTTCTACCAAATGCAAGAAGTGGGGTGTGAACCTGATCGAGTTACCTACTGCACTCTCATTGACATCCATGCAAAAGCAGGGTTCCTTGATGTTGCAATGGACATGTATCAAAGGATGCAAGAGACAGGTCTCTCTCCTGATACTTTTACATACAGTGTAATGATCAACTGCCTTGGGAAAGCTGGCCATCTAGCTGCTGCTTACAAGTTGTTCTGTGAGATGGTTGCTCAGGGTTGTGTTCCTAATTTGGTCACATACAATATAATGATTGCCTTGCAAGCAAAGGCAAGGAACTATCCTTGTGCATTGAAGCTGTACCGGGACATGCAGGCTGCTGGGTTTCAGCCAGATAAGGTGACATACAGCATTGTAATGGAGGTCCTTGGCCATTGTGGGTACCTGGAAGAAGCAGAGGCTGTATTTGCAGAGATGAAACAGAAGGATTGGATACCTGATGAACCTGTCTATGGTCTCCTGGTAGACTTGTGGGGAAAGGCTGGCAATGTTAACAAGGCTCGAAGATGGTATCAAGCAATGCTCGATGCTGGTCTATGCCCTAATGTCCCAATATGCAATTCCCTACTCAGTGCATTTCTGAGGGTTCACCAGTTCTTTGATGCCTATGATGTGCTGCAGGGAATGCTAAGATTGGGTCTGCAACCCTCCCTGCAGACATATACTTTGCTTCTCAGCTGCTGTACAGAGACACTGTCACCATTTCACATGAACTTTTGCTGTCAACTTATGGCAATCACTGGCCACCCTGCTCATGCTTTCCTAGTCTCCATGCCAGCCGCAGGCCCAGATGGGAGGAATGTGTGTGATCATACTAGCAATTTCTTAGACTTGATGCATACTGAGGACAGGGAGAGCAAGAGGGGACTTGTTGATGCGGTTATAGATTTCCTTCATAAATCAGGCCTCAAGGAGGAGGCAGGATCGGTGTGGGAGGTGGCTGCACAGAAGAATGTCTACCCTGATGTAGTGAGGGAGAAAAGATCCTGCTATTGGCTTATCAACCTTCATGTCATGTCAGATGGAACTGCTGTGATAGCTTTGTCAAGGACACTTGCCTGGTTCCGAAGGCAGATGCTTTCATCTGGCATTAGCCCCAGCCGGATTGATATTGTAACAGGATGGGGCCGCCGCAGCAGGGTAACTGGATCTTCTCTGGTTAGACAATCTGTACAGGAGCTTCTCAATATTTTTCAGTTCCCATTCTTTACTGAAAATGGAAACTCGGGCTGCTTTGTGGGGTGTGGAGAGCCTCTCAGCAGATGGCTGTTGCAGTCTTACGTGGAGCGGATGCATTTGCTGTAGTAAATGAGCTTTTGTGTTTCTGTTGTAGCATAAATGCAATTTTGGCAAAGCGGAAAAGTTGTTTCCTCCATATTTAGCATATGTTACTTAAACTATTGTTATTTTGAATGGCTTTGTGGAATTAAAAGGGGTCATAATTCATCATTTTCATGTCTATACAATTATCTACCATGTTGAAATGTAGGGCAAAAATGTATACCTCAGATGAGAAGGTTAGGTTAATCATCCTTCTTTTTTCTTTGTTCATATGATGTCCATTTCCTTTAAATTATGGACTGAGAGTCTGAGACTTTGAGAGTCCAAGGTCTTAAGAATTGTGTTGCTGAGAGAGTGAGAGGGTGCATATAACTTGCTTTTTTCTCTCTTTATTTTCTTTCAAGTCAGACAGCTTTATTGTGAATCTATTTGCATTAATGATTAAGGATTTTCCTTTTGAAATTGAATGTACTCCAAAAAGCGTAAACCGATTTTTTGAAAATCAGGCAAAGCTGAAATTTATGATTAAATTAATGCATCATTGCAATACTATTTTCAAAACTAATTTTCGAATAAATAACAACATTAATCTTAGAGGGTGTTCTTCAATATGAATTGTGCACTTTGTTGTGAGCCATTAGTGAATCACTCTTTGGTTGTATATTGTATTTCCTCTTTTCCAAAAGTTTCTTGAATTCCTGATTGTATACATAATTTCCTCAAGTAGTGTTATATTATTATGCTTGACGGCATGCAAAATTCAGATGGAAAATCTAATTTAATGATATTAATTAGGGTTTTTTACGATTCGCTCCACCACAGAATTCATAACTTTATCGTACAGTTTGGGTCAGTGCCAGGGGGGGGGGGGAGAATGTTTCATTTTATAGTGCCAAATTAAGAATGTTTTCACTCTGTTTTAAGCACATCCAATTAGGCAGTTGCCCGCATTTTATCTGAGTTACCCAGAAAAGAGCTTCCCTCAACTTCCTGCTTCTTTCCTATTTTCTATCAAGCTAAACAGAACCTTCTGTACTCTCAAAACAAGCTTAAATTGATTGATTAAGATTGGTCAACAAGGGATTTTCGCCCGTTTTGATATTCCAGTGAATCATCCAAGGTGGAGGGAGGAGGACGAAAGTGATCTAATGATCTTCATTGATTTGTTTGATTCAATGTAAAACTTTCCAAGTTATTTTATATTTGAATCATATTGTCTGTTCATTCTATGATAACGACTCTATTTTCCTTTGTGATGTATACTAAAACAAACCTAAAGGTACAAAAATAAAGTTTGGTAAAAGAGGCATAAATGATGGTTGAGGTCAAAAATTAAAAATTAAAATAACAATATATTTAAACATGGGTATCAGTTTATATCGATATGATCGATATTTACTCTTTTTCTTTACATTTTTTTTTTATTTTATAGTGATCATAGAGTTGGGTTGGGAAAAGATTAGAAGACCTTTTAAACATTTTAAAAACTCTACATATATTGGTGTATCTAAGCATATTTAGAATATTGTAAAAGAAAATAATATTTTAATCTATTCCATTGTAATTTTTTCATTTCATTTTATATAAAAACAAACAAACCCTAATATGTAGTTTTCGTGATCTTCTAGTACCAGTCAACTCTGGTTGCAGAGTTTCTTCAATAATGAATTCCAAGCTTTTATATTATATATTGTAAAAGAAAATAATGAGAATTTATATTATCGAGTTTTAAGTTTAAGATAATAATTATTTTACATTTATTGTCAAACAAATGACGTAATCAAAGATTTCTTTCAAGAAATTAATAATATTTTTTTGGTAATTAAGAAATTTAGTAATAAATAGAAAATGAAGGGTCACGTCATATTTTCTTTATTTTACTCGTTTAGTTTTTTGTTTTTTTTTTCCTTGTGATACATATCTTTACTTCTTTAGATGGATGTCCACCAAAGGAATCTAGACGTCCAATGAGGGGCCACCTCATGACGTGTGTTCTGGCCCGTCAATTGGTTTTGTATCTAATTGGACGGTGGAGATTGGTTAACGATCCACGTGGCAAAAGAGGAAACGTACAGCAAAGGAATATCAATTATCAAAAAGGTCGTCCAGAAAAGAAAACATGTGCATTTTTCCGCTAATTTATAAATTGGGTTCTTTAGTGTCCCCGCTCTGATACAGGGTAGGATTTGCTATCGAAGGGTCATGATAGAGTAGAGAGAGAGAGAGAGAGAGAGAGGGAAGTGTGGGTGGAGTCGATTCTGAATCATCTTCATCTGCAAGCGAATAATTCCGCAAAACACAAAAGGGTTAAACAGAAAACATCTCAATCTCACCGTCTACCTATTGGTAGGTGAGACCGTGAGAGAGAGCGAGAGAGGGGAGTTAGACACATACAGAGACGAGCTGCAAAACAGAGATCACAGCAACTAATCAATCGCCGACGATCCAGGCGAGACTCCAAACTTCAAGCTTCATCATTTCATTCCCCCTTTTCTTTATAGACTAGATATATGTTTTATTTATGTGATTGTTTCATCAAGTAAAGGGTCTTCATTTTCTATAGATTGTATATCTTTCTGGTGTTGTTGGTATTCATGCACCGTGAATTGATTAATGGGGCATAAGAAGCGCAACTTTTCTCCGCGCTCCAAACCGTCTGCTCCTGCTACGGTGGTCCCTACCGATGCTGCCGACGGTCTGGGCTCCGCCGAAGAGGAGCGTTCGACGAATCTCGGTCCCTCTGATGACTCCAGACAGGAGCCCAGTAAGATCGAAGCCACCGTCCAATCGGATGCTTCGTCGTACTCTGCGGTCAAGCTCGAATGCGAGCGAGCCCTCACCGCTCTTCGGCGAGGAAACCACACCAAGGCTTTGAGACTGATGAAAGAGTCTTGTCTCCGCCATGAGAACTCTGCTCTCCTTCACCGCGTCCAGGGGACTGTTTGTGTCAAGGTGGCTTCCCTAATTGAGGACCCCAATGCCAAGCAGCGACACCTCAAGAACGCAATTGAGTCTGCTCGACGCGCTGTTTTGCTCTCCCCCAACTCAATTGAGTTTTCCCACTTCTATGCCAATCTGCTGTACGAGGCATCCAACGATAGCAAGGGCTATGAGGAGGTTGTACAGGAGTGTGAGCGGGCGCTTTCGATTCTGAACCCTGTTGATCCTGCCAAAGAGAGCTTGCAGGATGAGAGCCAGCAGAAGCTGTCTACACCCGAGGCTCGGATCGCCCATGTGCAGCAGGAACTTCGTTCGCTCATTCAGAAATCAAACATTGCTTCTATTTCTACGTGGATGAAGAATCTCGGCAATGGGACTGGGGAAGAGAAGTTTCGTTTGATTCCGATGAGACGGCTACCAGAAGACCCCATGGAGGTCAGGCTGGTTCAAACTAGGCGGCCCAATGAGATCAAGAAAGCCACTAAGACGCCTGAAGAAAGAAGGAAAGAGATTGAGGTGCGTGTTGCTGCTGCGAGGTTATTGCAACAGAAATCTGGCTCTTCCCAATCCCAGAATGACGAGGAGAAGCCTTCGGAATCATCTTCTGGGTCATCCCATCGAGTTGGAGAGCGCCGCAAGTATGCAAATTTACGGAAGATTTCTTCTTCAGCAGACAGAATGGATCAAGTTCGATCTTATTGGAATTCTATGAGTCTTGATAAGAAACAAAGCTTGCTTGAGATAAGTGTTCGTGATCTCAAGGCTCATTTTAGTTCATCTAAGGATGGTTTGGCGTCTGAGGTCTTATCAGAAGCTCTATTTTTTGCCGAGTCCCATAAGACATGGAAGTTTTGGTCGTGCTGTCGCTGCAATGAGAAATTTACTGATTGTGATTCACACATGCAGCATGTTGTGCGGGAGCACATGGGGAACCTATCGCCTAAATTGCAATCAGTCTTACCTCAAGAAGTTGACACTGATTGGCTGGAAATGCTTGTCAATGGTTCATGGAAACCTATCAATGCCCCTGCTGCACTAAACATGCTGGAAGATCAATTGAAATGCCAATCGCCTAGAGCCCTAGATGGATCTGATACCAGGAACCACAAACATGGGAATAAGGAGTGTCTTGATGATGGTTGGTGCTTTAAAGATACATGGGATTCTTCTCCTGGTGAGGAGAAGTTACAACCAGATGAGGAGTCCAAGGCAGGGGAAATTAGCAATGGTATTCATCTGGAAAGCAGAATCCATGATGACCTTTCCAACTTTGAGTTAAGGGAATATGATGGGAACCGGTGGTCGAAGGAATATTACCTTGCACAGAGTTGGCCATTATCAGATGATTCTGAGCGTGCAAAGCTCCTAGAAAGAATTCATGGTATGTTCCAGTTGCTTCTGAGACATAAATATCTTGCTGCAAGCCATCTTAACAAGGTAATTCAATACACGATGGATGAGCTTCAGAGTCTTGCTCCGGGTTCTCAAATTCTGAACCATGGCTTGGACCAAACACCACTGTGCATATGCTTTTTAGGGGCCTCTCAGCTTAGGAAAATCTTTAAGTTCTTGCAGGAGCTTTCTCATTCTTGTGGTTTAGGCAGATATTCTGAGAAGAATATTTCTGGGGATGATACACATGGTGGTACTCCAGGCTCTGAAATTAAAGAGAGAATTGTTCTTACCGGTGATTCCTCTTCTCTCCTTTTGGACGAACGTTTACTGCAAGGGGAACTTACTCCAGTTAGATACCATAGTGCTCATGCAGATGATGGTTCTGCAGCAACTCCTGTTCTTATTCGTGATCATGGAGATGGGGTACTACCGGATAGTGATGCTCTATTGTCCTGGATATTTACAGGTCCATCAAGTGGGGAGCAATTGACATCATGGACACGCCTAAGAGAAGAGAAAACAAATCAAGGAATGGAAGTACTCCAAATGCTTGAGAAGGAATTCTACCTCCTGCAAAGTTTGTGTGAGAGGAAATGTGAGCATTTGAGCTATGAGGAAGCGTTGCAAGCAGTTGAGAGTCTGTGCCTCGAAGAGTTTAAGAAAAGGGAACACATCACGAAATTTGCCTCTCAAAGTTACGAGGCAGTCCTGAGGAAGCGGCAAGAAGAGCTTGTTGAGAGGGATAATGATGTCACTCTTATCAACAGTAGGTTTGAGTTGGATGCCATAACAAATGTCCTCAAAGAGGCACAAAATCTTAATGTTAATCAGTTTGGGTATGAGGAACCTTTGACTGGTGTAACTACCCGTTTATGTGACTTGGATTGTGGAGAAGATGATGATTGGAGAATGCAGGATTATGTGCATCAGACAGACACATGCATAGAAGTGGCTATTCAGAAACAAAAAGAACAGTTGTCTGTAGAGGTTGGTCTTTGTTTTCTAGTTATATCTTTAAAACAAAAACCAGAAGACAGCTTCTTTGCTCTTTTGTCTTACTGTTTTAAGTCTGCAGCTCAGCAAAATTGATGCAAGGATCATGCGGAATGTCACTGGCATGCAACAGTTGGAGCTTAAGCTTGGGCCTTTGTCAGCCCATGATTACCGGGCAATTGTGTTGCCTCTTGTGAAGTCATTCATGAGGGTCAGTATGTGGTTTAATTTTATGGATTAAGGTTATATTTCTCATCTTTGCATATAGTTTTACATCTCTATTTTTATCTATCTTCTCCAGGCACACTTGGAAGAGCTGGTTGACAAAGATGCTACAGAGAAGTCTGATGCTGCAAGAGAAGCATTTTTAGCTGAACTTGCACTTGATTCTAAGAAGAATGTTAGTAGAGGAGGTGATCATTTGAAACAGCTACAGGAGAAACCAAAGGATAAGAAAAAGAGCAAGGATTACCGAAAACCTAAGGATTTAAAGGTTTTAACTGTGTCGGGTGTGGTTCTGTTTCTTTCATTAGGACCGTAGTATCTTATAAACTTATTCTATAGTGTAGTGTTGATATTTTTGGAACTTTGCAGGCTACTGGTGTTGGCGGGCAGCTTCTCCATCAGGAAACTGAGGAACAGGCGTATGTCCCTCTTTTGCCCCTCATAGGCATAACTATGCACTCTATTGAAGATACTGAATCCTTTTCTGTTCTTTATTAGCATGACTACCATATTGTTGTATAATAGAAATTTATGTTTCACAGCAGTTACTCTCCGGTTGCATCAGATGAGAACCATCTAGGTTTTGAGGCTGTTTCTGTAAGTTGTGATGCTCTGAAACAACAGGAGGAGGAATTTCGACGTAGGATTGAGCTTGAAGCAGAGGAGAGAAAGCTTGAAGAAACACTAGAGTATCAAAGGCGAATTGAGAATGAGGCCAAACAGAAGCACCTTGCGGAGCAACAAAGGAAAGCTAGTGGAACAACAATGGAGAATGTAGCAGCAGAGGGAATGTACATTGATTCAGACTGCAGTGCTATTGATAAAAATGCACATGGGCAATTAAGACATTCTAAGCCAGTATGCTTGCCTGGTGCTGATGGATCTCCAACTAGTTGGAAGGGAACAGATCGTGGTGGTTCTAATTCTCAAATTTTTATACCTGAGGAAAATCAGGCGGTTGAATTGGATTGCTCTACAAAATACTCTGTGAAGCATGACATGCTACTGAATGCACAGGTTGGGAGGGTCTCTCTAAGTTACCGAGATAAGCCTTGTGGACCTTACACTAATCAAGATACATTGGCATTTGGGGTGCCAAAGGATTCAGGAAGGATGCTTGCAAACAATGCCGAAGGAACTGCAATGCTAAGTAAATCCTCTACTGACTCTGGAATTCAGCGGATTAAGAAAGCACATGGTCACTCTCATGGCCAAGTTAGGCAAGGTTAGCACTCCTATAATAAAACTCTAACTTTAATTGATTTGGTTCCTTGTTATTACTTTTGTTGTCCATATTTTTGATGTAGTTCCTTGTTAATTAGAAGGGTTATGTTAATCAGAAGCTATTTTTGCAATTGTCTGTTTTGTGCAGGCTTACCCAACCAAGGAAATCCAGAGAATGGTGCTTTGCCTTCTGATCGACGGGCAGGAAGGCAAAGTAAACGGCGTAATAGTTCTACCAAGTCTCTCGATGGAAATCCTCGAGGCTTGCCATTTGAGAAAGAAAATGGTGAAGTGTTGAGTTTGCAAACCGAGGGTTGCACCAAAAAGCAAGTTAGAGGTCTGGAGAATCTTCAAAGTGGAAATAGTGAGTATGATCTTATTTTGTGCTGTAGATCTGTTTCTTCCCTCTCCCTGGGCCTTTTTTTCTGACCTTGGTGGAGTTTATTGAGCTGCATCCATGAATGCCTGAAAGAGGAAATATTTATATGGTATCCCACAGTTTCACCTTTTTTTTTTGATAAATAACAAATGAAATTATAAAGATTTTAGAAACGTGATGGTACCACCAGAATAGCCCCAAAAGCCTATGCAAAAGTTTAAACAGACAAAAGCAGTTAAAAAAGTGATCTGGATATGCATAACTAGCCCAAAAAAGCATAAGCACACTCCTCTTTCCAAACCCATACACTTTCCCAAATAACCCACTAGCTCATTTTCTCTCCTTGCAGAGACATGAATTGCCTTCTGCATGAGGAGAAATATTCAGCAAGCAGAGCCCCAGTAAACAAAATTAGAAGTATTGTTGTAAAATGCTAACATCTTGAATGATTCATAAGCCCCAACACTATTGAATTCTGAATAGCCATTTGGCATCAGAACCCAAAATAAGATTCAGATTTCCGTTTTAGGGCCTTCATTTTATTTATTATTTCTAAGAAGATAAGTGATATATCTATGTGTGCAAGCATGATTCATTCACGAGAGAATGGTATACGATGTGCTCACATATAGTATATGGAATCTGGACTAATAGAACGATGATATGGACTTTCTTGATCCTATGTGGATTGAAAGCCAAAGGAAAAAGTATTTCCTAAATCCCTTCATAGAACCGATTTTCCTTTTGGTTAAAATGTCTGAATTCCTCTCGCCCCCAACTTGAATGCATAGTGGTAAAAGGGAACTGATATACAAACCGATTCTTAATTCCTACTCAGCTTCTTTAAATGTTAGCTTCTAAGGCCTAGTGTTTTAAAAGCGCAAGGCGCAAAAAAGGTGCAGAGGTCAATTTGCGCCTTAGGCACAAGGCGAGGCGTGCGCCTTTTTGAAGCAAGGCGCAAAAATAAAAAAAATGCTAAAAAATAAAAAAAATATGTCAGAAAATTTAAAAAAATTCAAAAAAAAAATATTAAACATAATATTAATAAAAAATATAAACTTGAATTTTAAAATAAATTATAAATGTTTTAAAAAACTTATTATCTAAAATTAAAATACATAAGCATAAGATGTAAAGCATATTCAAATGAGAATTTAAAAATAAAAATCAAACATATAAAACATTTTCAAGCATGTAAAACCTCTAATCTCTTTTTTCACTCAATTGCTTACTTCAAGTAGCTAATGTATTGTAAAACATATTACATTCCTGATTCTATGAGCCGCCTTTGTGCCATGCCCCTTGAGGCAAGCCCAAACAAGTCCATGTTAGGTGTTAAATTCTTAGTTCTCACACAAAAAATAATGAACTTATAACTTTCATTGCCTTTTAAGAAGATATTTTATTGCAATGAATGAATGAATAACATTAGCAAATAGGGGGTTCTCAGATTGTTTGGGCTTGCCTCGAGGGGCGTGGCATGGGGGTTCGGGGGCGGAGCCCCCGGCCCAGCCGCTATGTTCAAAAAAAGCAAAAAGCATCAAATTTTCAAAAGGCGCATGCCTGGGCTGAGTTGCAAGGCGCACCAGGTGTGCGCCTAGGACCTAGGCGAGGCGCATACCCTAAAATGTGCCTCGCCTGTGTGCCTAGGCGCGCCTTTTAAATCATTGCTAAGGCCTTCATGAAAGAAGGTGGGAACATCATCAAATTAAGAAATTTCAAAATGTATGAGCACAACAGTCTGGTGAAAACATATTTGAAAAAGAGCTTAGATTCTAATGCCTTCAAGGGGAAGATTGAAACATTACTGGTTCAGTGGGTTTTGATAGTTGAAGATTTTGAAGGTTCCTCCCATGATCATTTAGGAACCAGTGGGAGGATACCTTCCTCAATTCTTTTTTCATGTATAATAAAGAGGAGGATACATGCATATAGGTTTACATGGTTCCAATGCATTAACCATGTAAAATGCTTTGTAAGCTTGGAGTTTCTTGCCCTCCTTTTTGTGGTATATGCTACAAATTTACCATTCGTAAAAAGATAAAAAAAAGAAAAAATCTGGTGAAAGCATAACGAAATTAAAATTACAGACCATTCTGTCTAGATCTCTTCTAAGCCTAATAATTAAGCATGTAAATGTTTCTTTCATATTTAAGCCTTTGCTTGCTTATTTACCATTCTGTCTAGATCTTTTCACCAGGTTGCAGTGCATGTATTTGTGTATATGAGTTTTGAGTTTGATTTTTTTGGAGGATAGTCATGGATGAATTGACTAATCATGTTAATACATGGTGCATATAGTTTGCTGATGGCATATTATATATTGACAAAACTATAAGGGGTTTTAATGCAAAATTAGATCTATTGAGAGATGCTCTAGGATATAAAAGTTTTAAGATATAAGTAGGGCTAGAGGAGAATAGATGCAAAGTAAAGTTAAGAATTACAAGAGTGAGAACTTGGGTACAGTTAGGATTAGATACCAAGTAATACCTCAATGTGAACTCTTTTGTTTTCTTGGTTTCTTTTTTCATAACAATGGAGATATTGATGGAGATGTTGTCAATATAATTAGAGTAGGATTGGCAAAATGGATTTGGGATTTTGGGTGCATTTGAAGTGTTGTGTGACTGGAAAATATCACTCAGGTTTAAAAGATATATCTGTATAATGACTATTACACCAACAATGTTGTATAGAGTAGAAGTGTTGCTCAGCAAAGAAGCATGTCTACAAAATGGGTGTTGCAAAGATGCAAATGTTTAGATAAATGAGTGGTAAAACTAAAAAAAGATATGAATAAAGATGGGCATATTTGTTGGAATCTATGAGTGGCCCCATTAAGTGATAAAATGAGGAAAAGTAGGCTAATACAGTTTCTTCATGTGCATGGAAGACATCTAAGAAGTGATCTGCTGCAAATTGAAAGTTTTAGAAGAGCTAGACAARAGTTAAAGTAGTGGAGACTGAGTGTAGCAGAATGGTGGAGCAAGATTCATGTAGCCAACATCCATTAAGAAAAAAAAGATTCATTTAGCCAACCCCATATAGTTGGGATAAGGATTTCTTGAGTTGAGTTTGAGTCTAATCTATGAGTAGTTCATAAGGGAAGTCACATAACATTTATTATAGTTGAAACCAACCAATTCTTTATATATCGGTGGGTTCAAAACCGATATCCATATTGTACAATATGCACTGGTACATATTGATACTTTTGCCCATACCCCAACATGATCTTGTTTGGGCCCATCAGCCCACCACTTCCCTTAAGGCTTCAAGCTCTTGGGATTAGGAATGCAAGACATCTAACATGGATACCAACAAAAAATATACTGGAGTTGACATATATGGTAAATCTATGATGCCGGAAGAGCTTTGACCACTCAAAACCCCTATGAATTTTGATGAATACCACCTGATTCATTACCCTTTTAATTAGTCCAGTTGATTGATTATACATTTTTTGGTGTGTCCCTATGTGTCTGTGGAGTAGCAGTATATTTGTCTGCTCAATGACAAGATTATCACTTTGATCCAGTTTGAAATTCTTTCTAGTAAGTTGAATCTTCGTTTTATTTGTGTATTAGGTTATTTGGTTGATCTATTAGAACTACTTGCACTTTCTATGAGTTCACATTTTGCTTCAACACACTGTATTATATTGACTCTTAAAGTTTAATTTCAACTTTGCAGTGTATTATTTTCTCTATTAACTTTTGTTTCCTAGCTTTGTTTGATGATTTGGAACAAGACAATAATTTATAAAATTGTACCTATGCTTCTTTTATCGTTTCATAGAATATCATTCTATATTTTTGTATCTCACAATGTTTCCACCATGTCAATAATTTTTACAATATTTTCATATGGCCTTCCTGGCATGTTTCCTATTTTTGGATGTCCAATATTTCCACTGACACCAAAAAAAAAAAATTCCACTGCCTGGTTGAGAGTTTCACATGCTTGAATTGTTGAGTGCTTTAAGCACCTTTGTACAATCCATTTCTGTTTGCTTTCTCTTTGACTTTGAATTTGTCTTATATAGTTATATGCTATGTTTATGTGTTTCGGTCTATGCCAATAAAACTAAAGCAATTAATCTTTTTTAATTAAGGTTTTGCATATTTTATGTATTGTTTTTGTTCAATAATTTGCATGTTGTTTCACCCAAGTATGTCTGGGGCTAGCAACCTCCCCCCTCTCCCAATCTTGAAACTCATTATTAGCATAGTGTATTTTTGTGCAATGTTTATTTTGAACTGTAAATCTGTGTTTCACATTTGAGGTCTGAGGTTCACTTCACATGCTTTGTGATGCATGTTTTTTCAGGCTGTTGTCTAGGGACAGTGGCTCAAAAACAAAGTTTGTTATTCCTTGTTATATTGTTTGAATGAGTTCATTATTATGTTCATGTTTCAATTTCTTAGATGTTTTTGTTTTGATAAGTAAACATTAGAAAATTTCATTACAAGGAAAAAACAAAGCACAAACTGGGTAGGTGTTGAGGAAAAACCTACAAACATAACAACAAAAGAGAAACACCAATTCAGAACAGATCATCCAAGTTGCATATTTGTAACCCCAAGACTTACCCGAAAAACTATCCCCTAAGTCCAAGCTTTATTGTTGTAACCACCAAAAACCCTATAGGCCCTCCACGTTCACCTCCACCCACTCCCCATTACTATAACCCCATAGTTCAACTTCAACCTTCATGCTAAAGTCATAATTTCCACTTTCGTTTCTTGAAGAAAATAAAATCTGGTGTATGTATCTCAGCAAACATCACTAGAATTCTTCTCCCTCATTCTCCCTATCCCCGTACATTCCAATATATAAATTTCATTTTCACCTTCAAACACCCCACCCCTCCCTCATTAGCTTTCAGGCAACTCCATTCACTATTCCTTGACAAGGTCCTCTTCCCGCCCTTCTCCTTCCTCCCACACATTTCTCCCTTCCCCCACTGCTTTCTTATTAATATATTCTTCCCTCCTAATTGTCGGGTTGGTATAATTTCTACATAAAGCAAGTACAACTTTTGGTAATTTGGTTGTTTCCACAATATTACTTCATACTGTTTATTGGCCATGTTAAGTTGGAAATGGATGAGACATATCCAATGTTGTTGTAGGAGATTAGAGGGTGACTTTTGCTTGGCTATTAGGATCCCTTTAAGGTAGACCTGGTTCTTTTTGAATATATGATTAAACTGCCAGTATCTGAGTATATGATTTTGTGGATTCTGTTTTCCCTTTCTGTTATATCTCTCCGTCATTATTTTTTTTAAATAATATTTTATTGCTTAATCAATCCATAAAATGAAGCACTTTAGCTACCAATATCTTCCATGTCATGTTATTTATCTCGAAGAGATTTTCCAACTGTTTTTAAGAGATTGCATATCTTGTTGTGATTTATATGAAAATCTTAGTAATCATATGCCCTTAAAATATGAAATATGACATGGTTTTCTTTGTGGGAAAATTAGTTGATTCATATCCTGGAGACAATGCAACAAAAACATTGAGACAGCTACATGCAGAAGAGGATGATGAGGAAAGGTTCCAAGCTGACCTTCAAAAAGCCGTACTCCAAAGTCTTGGTAATGCAATTTTACAATTTTTTTTCTTGTTTCACGTGTGTATTTCATGTTGAATGGAATACTGTATACAGTTTCTTTAGGATTGTGGGAAAACATGTTTTGCAATTTTTGCTCATTATACTTATCTGTATCCTTTGGTGGTAGATAGGGGCTCCAAAACATTCAACTTTGTCATCTCGTGTTCCAGTTTTTTTTCTTTTTCCCCCTTCATTTTTTTGAGTGTTAATGAAAAAACATTTCAGTAAAATACAGAACTGAAGAAGCTGATAGAATAATAGAGATACAGGGTATCATGCTTGAGCATCTGAAAAAGATGCTTGTTAACCTGTATAGCAGGGTATCATGCTTGAGCATGCATATTTTGGATTAAGCCACAGATATTGTTGAAATATAAAAAATTGAAGGGTAAAAGACTTAAGACTTCCTTGATATTTTACCTAAACACTGAAACATCCCCTCACTTTCAAATTAGACTTAGACCTCCCCTCTGATTTATAAACTGTTATCTCTGACAAGAAAGAAAAATGAGTAATATACCCTGGGCTTGATTGCTAATTAATTTAGAGAGAAAAAACCCCATCATCTTCAACCTTGGAATGGTGAAAACTTGACTGATGACTGTGCTGCATCTATCCACTAATCCATCTATCTTCCTTGTCTGTAAATTAATGAAAAATAATCTGAAATAAAAAATCTAACTGAAAAAGGGTACCTTTCATGCTCACATTTGTTTGTGTATATTTACCAAAAAACTTGACTCCCTACAGTGGTAAGAAGGCTCAGCAGAGAGGAGCAAAAAACTTTTTTATCTAGACAAGAACATCTGAAAAAGAAAAGGATTCAAAAAGCAGTGCAACTCATCCTCATTTTCCTTCAGTTTCATGTTTCACAAATTTACACATATACATGAAGTGCATTACTTAAAATGGTCTTTCTTCCTTTCTTGACTTTGCTATTTATGATACTGGCATCCAATGCCTGATGAGTAACATACAACTAGAAGGTTCAACAGTCTCCTGTGAAGCTAAAGGCACATCTGCATATTATTCTCAAATTCAGCATCCAAAAACTTAAATTTCTTATTTTTATTATGGCTTCACCACAATGTTGTCTGCTGTCTACCATCAGGGATTGCAATCAGAAGTATGAATTTTGAAGGGCTCAACAGAGGAACATCACATCTGAAATAGCTCTCCCTCTCTAACTCTCTTAAACAGATCATTATGCCACATGCTAACAGACAAAGATGGAGAGTTAACAGATGGGAAGTTTGTCTGCTGATGTTATCTATGAGGGGATGTCTAAGTCCAATTTGAAAAGCGAGGGTACATTTCAGCATTTAGGTGAAATTTCAGGGGACGTTTAAGTCTTTTACCCAAAACTGAAAAAGAAAAACATCGTCCCTACAAGAATTTCTGAAGAATATTTAAGAATGTTTCTATCAATAATCAAAATTATAGATTTGATGAAGACTAGTCTTCAGCAGAGGAAGGAGGTGATCTTACCCAATTAATTTTCCTGTGAGGCATTCAATTAATCATTTCTGGCTGTTGGAGGAAGGCTGTAAGTGTCCGAGAGTGCTTATATGGGGATTGGGTGGGAGATAACCTTTTTATTTTGGGGTGGGGGGAGGTAAGATTGGCTTTGCTTAGAGTAGGGTGAGTGGTTTGGTCATCTGTTATTTTATCTAGGCTTCTACTGTGAGGTTCATTTTGTGTATCTTTGATGGTCTTGTTCTTGGCTCTTCTTAAGGCACACGGAGGGATAGTTGGTAGAGAGGTCTTTTTTATTTTTCCTTGCCCTTTTTTTCTTGCAGTAGGCACCTTGTATACTTTCTTTTAAAATATATAATATGGTTACCACCTATTAAAAAAACCGAAAGAAGTTAGTTTCAGAATTTAACACTTGCAAACTTTCATTGTTTTACTGTTTTGTGTGATGTAACACTTTAAAGTTATAGTGTCAACTAATTAAGCTTAACCACATTATATGAAATTACGACCATATACATGGAATTACGTGGATTTAGTTATGCTTTTGAGCTGGTTCCTTGATCGATTTACTAATTGTTCAGTGAAACCAAATCTTTCTTTGTTCTTTTTGTTCCAGAATACATTTCATGAGTATGGATATTGGACAAGAAAAACTTTGTATTGTATTAAATATGAATAACATCTATCGTGATTGCCCAGAGTGATGGTGTGCAGCACATCTTGCTAGCTAAATGATTTTTGATTCCTAAATTTTAACGAAATAACATGTTATTGATTAAAGAAAATGATTTTTGATTCCATTCTTTTTAAGTAGGTCTGTTCATCAAGAGACACATTCCAGTGAATTGATCAATGCCTTTTAGTTTGCTACTTGTTTATTTATTGTCTTATACCATTTAAAAGACTAGTATCTGACTAGGAGAAATATTTGACTCATCCTTGTCACTACCTTTGGTTGTACATGCTTGACTGGAACTTTCCAATCTACAAGCTCAAGCATTGAATTTGTAATATTTAAAATAATCTTTTTTTTTTTGTGTTAGAATAGTTGTTACTAGGGCGCCAATCACTTTTGTTGTCACTTAACCTGTTTCATGTAGCCCAAAGTAATATTGGTGGCATTCTGATAATTTACTTCTGTTATTCTATTACCAGACACATTTCAAGCACATAAAAATTTGCCCCATGTTCCAAGGCCAAGAGTACCTCAAAAGACCTCCCTACAAGTGGAAGATTTTGGGTCTTCACCTAATGATGTCATGGTCAACAACATAAATGGAACAGATGTGTTTGGGATGGGGCTGAAAAATGAAGTTGGTGAATACAATTGCTTTCTGAATGTAATTATACAGGTTGGCTTCATATCTCAGAGTTACCCATTTTTTTCATTTCTATGATATGTCTGCTTGTTATTTTTCTTCAATTGTCTGAAATGGTAACTCTTTCCTGGGAATACAGTCCTTGTGGCACTTAAGGCGGTTTAGAGATGAGTTCTTGAGGAGATCAGAATCAACTCATGTGCATGTAGGAGATCCTTGTGTTGTCTGTGCATTATATGATATTTTTACTGCCTTGAGCATGGCATCCACGGATACACGAAGAGAAGCTGTTGCTCCTACTTGCTTGAGAATTGCCTTGAGCAACTTGTATCCTGATAGTAATTTCTTCCAGGAGGTAAATCCAGATGAAAGTACTGATGTCTCTTGCAGCATTTTTTTAATCTGACTTTGCATCTTCAATCATTCCTTCAGAACCAACAAAATAGACATTGGGTGTTAAGGAATAGTGTTCTTTTTAGTTTAATAATTACTGATAAATGCATTTCTAATTGACAGGGGCAAATGAATGATGCTTCTGAGGTATTGGCAGTAATTTTTGACTGCCTTCATCGATCATTTACATCTGGTTCAGGTGCTTCAGATGTAGATTCAGAAGAAAGCAATTGCTTGGGCTCGTGGGATTGTGCAAGCAATGCTTGTATAGTGCATACACTTTTTGGGATGGACATTTTTGAACGAATGAACTGCTACAGCTGTGGTGTGGAGTCCAGACACCTAAAGTACACTTCATTTTTTCACAACATCAATGCCAGTGCTCTCCGAACAATGAAGGCATGTTCTACTTTAATCACCCTTCTCTTTGTTATAATGTAATACATCCTAATGTTTGGAACTTGACTTTGAAGTTGCTACGGTTCAAGCGTTAGAAAGTTGACCTGTTTTAAGCCTATTACAGTGACTAAACAATACCCCATCGCTCAGATTATGTGTGCAGATAGCTCTTTTGATGAGCTTTTGAAGCTTGTGGAGATGAATCACCAGTTAGCCTGTGATCCAGAGGCAGGAGGCTGTGGTAAACTCAACTATATCCATCATATTCTTTCAAGCCCTCCACATGTGTTTACAACAGGTAATAAAGTGCTGGAACCTTGCCAATTTTGCATTGTGAATTGTGACTAGTGGTGCTTTCTTTTCAAGAAATATGCAACCGTCTTGTTGGCATTTGCATCTTGCAGTTCTAGGTTGGCAGAATACCAGTGAGAGTGTGGATGACATATCTGCTACACTAGCAGCTCTTAGTACTGAATTAGATATTGGTGTCTTGTACCGGGGCCTTGATCCAGGGAATCGACATTGCCTAATTTCAGTGGTAAGCTTAACCTCAAAGTATATATCAGCCATTGGTTAAGATGACCTAAAGCTTCTTTTCTTTTGCAAGCAATAAATAAACATACTAGTTGCTAGGTTCCTGGATCTTTCCATTTATTCTAGATTCTGAAATAAAAGCTTTTCAATTAGTAGCTCAATGGTTGGAGTTTGGTGTTGTGGTTGAATAATTTTGTTACTCTCTAAGTTGAGTATCATGGGAAGTTTATTTTCAGAAATGCTTAATTCACAAAAAAATTTATAGCCTACATTTCAGAGTTCTTCTATCTCTCCTAATGGGAAACCATGTATTCTATTGCTTTTGTTTGTCTATGTGCATTTACAAATAATGGTTAATGCCATGCACAGTATATAGCAATAATCCTTGTGCATTTCCTGATTACTATCCATACAGCTGATTCTAAGGAACAAGACAATTGATTCAAGATCCTATTGATTCCCACAGAGGGGAAGGAAAGGACACGGCAAAATACATATAAAAACAAATTGCTTTTCCTCCCAAGCAATTGGTAAAGTATGAAATGCCTGGAGAGTGCATACAAGGCTATATAAAAAATCTAATCAAAAGAAATATTGAACTTTAAGAGAACGCTTTCCTTTTCAAGCTAAATCTYGACAYGCWTTACTAACTCCAGCAGTAGGGGTCAACATGGAACTTCTYAGATTGAAAAAGAGTAGGAATGGCACAGTTCATTGAAAAATCTAATCAAAAGAAATATTGAACTTTAAGAGAACGCTTTCCTTTTCAAGCTAAATCTTGACACGCATTACTAACTCCAGCAGTAGGGGTCAACATGGAACTTCTCAGATTGAAAAAGAGTAGGAATGGCACAGTTCATTGAAAAATCTAATCAAAAGAAATATTGAACTTTAAGAGAACGCTTTCCTTTTCAAGCTAAATCTTGACACGCATTACTAACTCCAGCAGTAGGGGTCAACATGGAACTTCTTAGATTGAAAAAGAGTAGGAATGGCACAGTTCATTGAGATCAAAAGGAGATGAGATATTCACCTGGGTGATACATCCTCTGCTGGACTGATGTTTTAAATGTTGTGACCTCCTAAACCAAAAATGTAACAATTAATTAAAACAAACTGATCTTTCTGTGCTTTTTTTTTCTGTATATTTTGGAGGTAACCTATTGAGAATCGATTTACCTCCTTGCCCTCTGATTATTGTTTATGTAATTTGTAGGTATGCTATTATGGGCAACATTATCACTGTTTTGCCTACAGTCATGAGCATGAGCGATGGATTATGTATGATGACAAAACTGTCAAGGTAGACATCTTTATGTTCTGATATTTCTTCCCATCAATTATGCTCGACTTGTGTTATATGGTTGAAATTTATTCATGCAGGTAATTGGCAGTTGGCATGATGTTCTTGTCATGTGCGAAAGAGGGCATTTACAACCTCAGGTTCTTTTCTTTGAAGCTGTAAATTAACTCTTACCTGGAGATCACTCAGTACTTGCTCTACCAGGGTGTTACAAGTCTAGTGTGGCTTAGTGTTCATTCTCTGTTCATAGTGACGCATAGCTGATGATAGTCAATCCCACAAATGTGGCAGAAGTCCAATTCTTTTCTCAATAGTGATCAAAGTTTTGAAGCCAGTTTAAAAGATTTTGTAGGAGCAGTTGGCCCTCTCGGAGAAACAGTGTATTAAAAGAGATTTTATTTGAGGAAATCAGACGATTGAAACCCCGAAGCATAGTGAATTGAGCCTCAACATCTGCATCAGAAAAAGTTTGTTACAACCTGTTGGATCTCTTCTGTTTTCATGGCTTTTCTTTTTTACTTGGTTTTCCCAATAAGGAGGCATTGTTGAAGGAGTGGAATATGATTGTTGCTTGGCATGAATGGGCTGAAGGAGCTTATTGTGCTCGTCTCTCTCACTGGAATATTACTGTCACTAGCAGAATGTTTCAAGGATTCAGCAGTACTACCCAAGGGAAGACCGGTTATTGGAGCTAGATTTTTATCAGAGATTGTTTTATGTTACCAGTTGCAATTTAAGGTCTTTGTGCATAGAAAAATATCAACGGCCCTTTGGGTCTCAATACTGTACCGTACAGTTTTTACATATGCCAATGAAAATGGAAAAGGAAAAAGTAAATGCGAAGTATTTCTGATGTTAACGTTATGTCTGACCCTGAAATACTACCCCATATATGGGGTAATGCGGATGATGTTTGTGACCTCTTATTAATTCGTCCATTTTCATGACATATCACATAACTATAGATATAAAGGATTTGATAAGTTGGCTCCATGTCCTATCAAACAAAAAAAATACCTAAGCTTGAAAAACGAGCAGGAGTTGGCATGGTTGAAATCAGTCTTTGAATCTTGATGCTTTGAGCTATTTGACTAGTTTCTGGAAAGTATAGCCGCCGGATAAAGCAGTTCAGCATGGCGGCATGCAACCCACTTGAGCAGTTTTTGAGCCACAAGACTATTCGGTTTGTTCCTGGATTGGTTAGCTTCAGAGACTGCTATCTTTTTTCTTTCTTTTCTTTTCAATTATGCCTTGACGCTGTGATCAATCAACATTCTCCAATACGCGCCCTCGTCTAGGAGGCGCCATAAAAAAAAGAAAGAAAAGAATAAATCTAAGTCAGAGAATCATACTCACCAAATCATCAATCTTCTACATATTAAGCACTGAGGAAAAAAAATCTTGCAAAAAGGTTACAACAATCCTCCTCCATTACGGCTTTCAAGATATAGAAGATTTACAATCTTTCATGAATGACAAAACTAATTACTTCCGTTTGGTAATTCAATGGCTAAGAGGGAAAAGGGAAAAACCCGAAAAAAAAAAAGAAAAACTTTGTAATTTTGTATTTGTACATGAGGTGATGTCTAGCTAAACTCCTTTTGAATTTCGTGCTTTTGCAAAATGTGTTGCTCCTGCAGTCCAGCATAAAAAATAATATAAACTTGTTAAATTATGGATGGGATTCAAAAATTCAAACCATAAGATTGTGAAATTATAATAAATCATCACAATAGTATTTTACTTGTTCATCATATCTTATATTCTCTAGTTTATGAAATTGTAGACCAGAAATCATGATAAAAGGTTAGATTCAAACTTGCCCTATGAATCTAATAGTCATTAGTGTCTGAATCAACATCATCTGCATGATCTAGATTCTCCGTCAATTTCCTAAGTCCTAACCCAAATAAAGTTAGATGTAAATTTTGAAGATTCTAACACTTTCCACTCTGACCAGATGGCACAGACAGAATTTACCTACCATACTGTCATAAGACAGACAATACCATCAAATTCAAGTATCATCACTTGATCAGTCAGCAAGATTAAGGTTACAGTATCTAAATGTAAGGCGAATTTGTGGTGAATACATAAAAGAGCAAAGAAAGATGAAGCAAGATAAGAGTGAAAAACCAAAAAGTTTCCCTTAGGCAAGCCTTCTTGAAATTAAAAAATGATCCGATAATCTGGTGTTTCTTCTGCTAGAATAGAAATCAACTTGCTATATATAGTAAACCTTTCTCATATCAAGAACACTAGATTACTGTAGCATAAGTGAAATTCAATCCTGGGATTGTGTTTTAGTTAAATAAGACATGAAGTTTATGTGTGTATATCTCCATTTCATCATGGTCAAACTGCATATGTTGCAGAATAATTCCTTTGTAAAAGAGCTGAGCTCAAAGAATCATGGAGGAAGACACAAAGTGATACACTAATTCCAAGCGTCAAGCGGAAAAGCAAGAACTTACATTTTGGTGCTTGTGGAACCACAACGACATGCATGGCAGCATTGTTGGGAGGAAGCTGCAGGCGAAGGGGATACAGTTTTCCATCCAATCGGTTGCGAGAGCACACGATGATGTCCTCGATCCCTGTTTCTTCCTCCAACTTTTGCTTCAATTCATGCACTCCAGTCCCCTTGAAAATGAACGAAGAACCTTCAATGGCTTCGTCAACATTTCCATTCTCATCCATAATATGAAAGTAGATTGTCCGGCCATCAGGCTTTGGTGGTGAATTATCAAAATAAGTACTCGACTGCAAGCAATGAAATAAACAGAAAACCACTAACAAGTCAGTATCGATTGCAGAAGGTACTAAATCTATATGCTGCGCATGCTGCAAGAATCAAATGAGACGAACCTCTAATTTTGATAATTTATTGGATTTAATCGAGATGGATGAAGGCGAAGTTGGTTCGGAATCAGAGGTATCATCAGACTGGGGAACAGTCTGTGCAGGATGAACGGGGGAATCGATATGGATTTCGACGACATCAACATCCCATAAGATCCAATCTTGAGTTGCAGTTCTGTGAGGGATGTCGTGAGTGACGGAATTCCTCCAAGGAGGAACACCGCCATTTGCGCGCAAAAAGTTGCCGTAGCGAGTCCTGAGCTTAACCTGAAACGCTTCCCTGATGGGCTCCCACTCGACGGAGGAATCCAGCTTTCTGGGTGTAGTCTGAAGAACCTTCTTCCCGGTCATCCCAAGAAGGAAGGCCTCATTAGAGGCAGTGAGATATCTTCCATAGCAGCTCTTGAGACGAACATAGTTCCCTCCTTCAACGAACTCAACACCCCACTTGGCGTTCCGAGACGAACCGTTGCGGTTTTGGGACACCGATTCCTCGTCTTCCTCGGCGAAGAGGTACTTCTCGTGGTGGCTTCGGAGACGAACAGCCTTGGCTTTGTGGAAAATTTCCATTTCTCCATTCTGATACCAACAGAGAAAAGGAATTATTAGATGAGTGTGCGCGAGATCCTAGATATGATGAGTGATGACGATGAATAAAAGAGAGAGAGAAATAACATAAAAGAAATTCAAACTAACCATTTCAAGACTGCAACGTATCAAATGAGATGAAGGAAATAGCAGAGATACAGAAATGATCAGAATCAGAAATAACAATATATATAAAATCTGTATCAAGGCTTCGTCGCCTGAATCGAATAATATAATAAATACATGTAAATGTCCCAGAAAAAGAAAACGCGTCTCCGGACAAGGAATTGAATGATGGGTTAGGTTTGACAAAGAGTGAAGGAGGGCGGAATGATTGAGGAAGAAGGTCGGCCTTATCTTTTCTTAACTTCTCACCACCTTCCTTCGTGTCTTCATTTGACTCCTCCGACCTCCGCTCCGCTCTGTCCCCCTTCTCTCTCTCTAGACTCTACTCACTTGCGGAAAATGAAAGAATATGCTGGGGGGGGGGGGAATGGTCCTTTTGACGATGGATAATAAGGCCACGTCTCCCATGTTTCAAAGTAGGGCGACGTGGCTTTAAATTGACCGTGAAAAGGACTATTTCCCTTCCCTCCTATTTATCTTTCTGGAGGTATCGTGCCCAACCGGTCTTAGATCGTTGAATTGGCCTAGTATACGGTGGTCCCACTCCCAAGTCCCAAGTCCCAAGTCCCAAGTCCCATCCCATGTGACAATAACTTTTTAAAAAAAACAAAAAATCCTCGTGACCAATTACGATTATCTATGCAACTTATATAAATAAACTGACGTGGATCCACGTGTTCCTCCCAACGCAAGAAGATTTGGCCCTATGAATTCGGATTACATACACCGTAAATATAGAACTCTGTGTGGGACCTGCTATAAATGACAAATCAGGATCCACTTATTACATTGTTTCATAGTGTATGCCATATTAACATTGCTCGAAGACTCGAAGGAATTAGATTTTACAAGGTTGTCACGCGCTCCATCTCACCCGAGGCCGTTGTAAGTTGTAACCTTCTTGGCATCACGCATTGTATCAAGGTATCAGCAGAAAAGCATTCCAATTCACATTTCCGCCCCACAGCACATCCAGGCCGTGTATCGAGAACATCTCTCGATGGTGGTATGATGTCATCATCGGGGGGGGGGAATATTTCCAATATACGGTAGGGATGTGCTGTGAGACGGATATAATAAGCAAGTACTTCATAAATATTCTTAAAGGAGAGGTGTCAAAAAAATTTTTCAAATGCCCATTGAACCATATGAAGTGTGGCTTGGCTGCTGTTTATTTTCATGCCATATGAAAAAACCCTTTTTGCCCACCATAGCATTTGCCATTCAAATACTCTACTTCATACCATATGAGTATAAGCAAACCTCTATTTCTCTCCTACGTCAGAACCGACCAGCTCGATCCAACTATGTTCCAATTCCATAGCGTGGTTCATTTAATATCTTTGTGCACAAATCAAGTATGCTAGTTGACTCATCTTCAGCATTTGCCATCCCTTTCATATACATTGTCCTCGATTTTTGAAGGATTTTCCTTCAATCTTAAAACTCCAAGCTTCAATCAAAAGAATCGTAATAACCATTGGCTTATCTCTCACTTTCATTCATTACTCATTCTCCCACAATTCTTCTTCATCATCTAAACCATGTTCCATCTTTTAAGGTGCCGGCTACATGAATCTTGTTTCACCATTCTGTTCTATATATTTAGTATCATGTCCATGTCAATCTAATTGTTATTAACATCCTGACTCGTGGCAAAAAACAAAGCGTACGTGGCACCTCAGAATCCACCAACCTCGGTCCTACTTGAAATGCCTTGACATCGTTCGTTCGTCTAAGCTCAGAATCCACCAACATCATTATTATCTATTGCTAAATTATGGGTGCTTAAATAATTTTTTATAATTTTTATACAAGTTCTTTTTGGTCTACCTCTAGCTCTTCTACCTTCTTCGATTTTTAACTGAACCTTTTATAAAAGGTGTTTGTGCATGTGACCAAATCATCTCAATCTACATTTTCTCATTTTATCACCAATTAGAACTAATTCTTAGTGGCTTTATTTTTAATTTTACCATTCCTAGTTTCACAAACTTGACAACATTTTCATTTCGGCCACACTCATTTTATGACATCTGTTTCTTAAATGCCCCAAAATAACTGGGGCAATTAAAATGACCAAACCAGCATCATGAAACTGCTACCATTAAACAAGTCTCTTAAGAACTAGGAAACTGAAAATTTATCCCTTAAGGCTGTGCTTGGTTGCAAAGTGATGCAAAGCCAATAATACAAATTATTTCAATCTATTTTATTTTATTTTGTTTGATTGCAGTACAAATGAAATAAAATAAGACCTGAAATAGAATAAAATAAAACCCAAAACAAAATTAAACCACAGTTTGCATTATTTTTATTTGCACTCCCAAGCATTTATACTAGTGCAAATAAAATTGCACTGCAACCAAACCAAACACAGCCTAAAAGACACCCTTTGAATCCCAGATTTCCTCTATTAAACAATCAGATTATTCTTCCTGGTTACCTCCCACTCAAAACACCATTATGCAATCGGATTCGGTACGGTTTCTTCTTCATTAAATGGTTAGTTGAATCACTTACTTGGCTTAATTAATTCATTGCTTGAATGAAGGCTGCTGAGAGTCTAATGAGAATCGAAGAGGGGAGGGTTTTTGGGTGGAGAAGAGGCAAGGGTTTGAAGAAAATTCGAGAAAAGGAAATATTAACAGAGGCTTTTTAACACCTTATTAATAGAGATGTGGACTCAACTCGACCTCTCCCTTCCTAAACGGCTGAACTGAATCATGCTACCGGCAATAACTGTAGTGGTCGAAATAGTAATGGCTTTTTATAGATGAAACAGTAACGGCTGTTACACAGAAGCAATTTATTGCCCAGTTTCCATAAAGTCAAGTCATAAATGCGCTTTCTATCAGAATTCTTGAATTATCTGAATCCTGATTAAGAGGTTCTCTTTGATTCTACCGACAGATTGTACTGTTTGAGAGATCCAAAAAAAAGGTAAACAGTAACGGGTTTAATGGAGAGAGAGAGAGAGAGAGTAGACACCTAACCTTTTTCGAAGATGCGGATTGGAGGGACTCAGTCGCTGAGACCGTCGACCACGAGCTGGTTAGTTGTTTTGGAATCTGATCGGCGGAAGCCGTGGACTCGGGTGAACCAGGTTCGTAACCCATCACATCATCCGACAGCGAGAGCGAAGAGAGAGTTGATAGCTGTGATTGGTAATCAGAGAACGACTGGGCTTCGAATTCCGGTATTTCGACAACATCGACGTCCCACAACACCCAGTCCTGAGTGGCAGTTCTATGAGGAACATCATGAGTTATGGAGTTCCTCCAGGGCGGAGTACCACCGTTGGCGCGCAGGAATTTCCCGCCGCGTGTCCGAAGCTTCACCTGAAACCCTTCCTTAATGGGCTCCCACTCAATCGACGCGTCCGACTTCGTTGTCTGGAGTACTTTCTTTCCGGTCATCCCCAGGAGGAAGGGCTCGTTGGAGGCGGTCAGATATTGGCCGTAGAAGCTCTTAAGTCGCATCAGGTGGCTGTTCCCTTGGACTATCTCCACTATCCATCTCGCCTTATGACTGGAGCCATTACGGCTTTGCCGAACCGTTTCTTCATCGTCGTCGGCAAATAGGTACTTCCCGAGGTGGCTTCGGAGTCTAATCGCCCGAGCTTTGTTGAAGAACTCCATAATAATACAATAAACCACCCTTTAATCTGAAGATCCCAGACGCAGCAAAACCAAGCAGAGAGAATCACGAAACTGGTATGGGATATTGAGGAATAATCCAGTCTTTGGGTGGTTTTAATTAACGGAGAAAGGTTACAAATATAAGACAAGAAGAAAAGGGTGAAAGACTAGAAGACGGGTTTGTTCTTTGTTGCCTACCTGCCAAAGGAAGATGACGTGTTTGATCCTCTTTCTTTCTCCTCTTCTGATTGTTCGGGTCTTAATGAATGGTGTATAGGTTTCAAATTAAGGGTAGTTTCTGGGGTTTCGGTTTATTTTCAACGTATAATTAAACAGGAATTGGAATTTATAATCAATGAATCAATCAATTGGGGGAACGACGAGCTTGGTTGAATAATTGATGTGGGGGAAGCTTCGAAGCTGCATCTTTGTCTTGACCAGGCCGAGACGATGACGAGAAGGCTCAGTCGATGCATCTCGATTCTCAACTTAGAAACGATGATGCTTGCGAATTGCGATGGTCCCCAGATGCTTATTCTTGTGAGGAGAGATTGAAAGTGTGATAAGTTAGGTTGCGTTTGGATAAGATTCAATATTTGAACCAGAGACATGGTTAATGAACCAAGTTAGGTGTAAAATCACAGAGTCACATGCTCTTTATGACATGGTTAATGGACCTGCCGTGCACCCTGTTCGTTCATAGGAAATCGGCTTCAGTGCTTACTGAGACCGGATCTACTCACACAGGGCGCTTCACACGCCTATACTAACATCTCTCATACATACAAGTTATCATTCATGGGAGATGTTCCCAATGCATGGTAGATGTGTCTGTGAGATGCCCATGTGTGAAAAGCAGATCCTGTTCCCATATTTACATCGTTTGTACAATTTCTTACAGCCTTGCATTGGGAAAGGTGTAAATAAAGCAGGATCTATTTCTCACGAATTGGTGCCTCACAGGCACATCCACCGTGAATAGGAACATCTCCTATAAATAATAATTAATAAGTAGGAAAGATATTYTCAATGCATGATAGGATGTATGTGTGAGCACCAGGTGTAAGAAATTTTAAAAGATAAAAATTAAATTAATGAATGTATTTGTGGGTGTGGTGAAACGTCAATGCAAAGAGGCCCCTCCTGTGCCTTCTACACATGGGAGTCTGAAAATTCTGAATTCGTGTATTGACCGGCAAAAGGAAGAGAAGGAAGTCAATAGCTGATCGATGGACGATGGAGTCAGCCCAAAAAACTCCGGCTCATGGTGGCTGTGCTTGACTGCTTGTGGATGCCCCCAAAGCCAAAGGAACACCTATAGATGAGAAGTGAAGCTTTACACCCATCGGTATTTAAATTGAAAACAAACGCCGCCTTAGTTTCCCTTCCTTTTATTACCTTGTTACTCCATGTGATAGATGAATGAATCAATCAGTCGATGCCAATGTATTTGAAAATTAGTAATGGGTGACAGGTAGGTGGGTTTTGTTTTGGTAGGCAACACCGTTAGTGTGGTCCCTATATTACCGTACATAAAGTAAGAGTAGGGGTCACGGTTCATGTTGATACTTGTAAACACTCTTTAGAGGACTCTTTTAATTTAAAAAAATGGTTGTTGGTTTCTTAGGGATAATTTGGCCCAACCTACTACTAGTATGCGGATAAATAGAAGTGATATACTGACTGGATGATAATTCACCATTTCCTGCCACTTTAGCAAGTTAGGTCAGCTCGAGTACCTTGGTTAAGATCGAGGTTCAAGTAGCTTGTGGTGGTCCGATTTGCCGAGGTAACACATAGCTCACTTTTAGAAGCATGTTAGTTGTCTCCGACATCTCCAGGATTATACCAYACATCCGTAAGTTTTATCCTCATTATGCGCAGATCGGACGGGACTCGATAAGCCTTATCAACTCATATGAAGTCTACCTCCAAGTGTGGAACAAATACCTAGTAGCATGGATCGGGGATCTCGGAGGTGTTTTGTAAGACCTACGACAACTCACCTATATAAAGGCACCAACTCCAACGTCACAAGGTATGTGCGATTAATTGTTCAATAGCTTTCTAGCTTTCAAGCATTCAGCTCGTACACAATTACTAACTTAAGCATCAGAGCACTCACATAGGGTAAGCCACCCTGGGTCCTTTTAGCATTCTTCTCTTGCAGTTCGACCGGCCAACTAAACGGACCAACGTCCAAGCTGCCCTCTAGTTAAAAGCATTCAGATTGCACACCATAAGTTTCCTCTTATCTCTTAAAGTGTAATTATACAACCTTTTATTTTCCAATGATACAAAAAAAGAAAAACAAATAAAAACTCTAATATATGGGGTCAAAATGGATATTTGATAGTTTTTAGAATTAAGAACAACATTCTCTGCGTTCAAAGTTCAGAGGAAATAAAAAGTTCACCAATACCAATTGATGTAACCGTTTCTGGTCACGTACCATTTTTTGTGATGTATAAATTTTTTTTGGCTAAGTACCTCGTTATTTGACCCGGTGGTGACGTGCCTTGGTGAAGAGCTACTTGGTGGCGAACTCCCTGGTGGAGAACTGCCTGGTGGAGAGCTACTTGGTGACGAACTGCTTGGTGGCAAACTCCTTGGTGGAGAACTGCTTGGTGGTGAGCTCCCTGGTGGCAAACTGCCTGGTGGCGAGCTGCCTGGTGGTGAACTGCCTAGTGGCAAACTGCTTGGTGGCGAGCTCCCTGGTGGCGAACTGCCTAGTGGAGAACTGCCTGGTGGCGAGCTCCTTGGTGGACTCGTCATTTGACCTGCTCCAAGGCGGCCTGTAACTCAGAGGATGGTGGAGCTCCCTAGTGCAGCGCAACCCGACTACCCTCTGCATGAGGTGATTTCCTATCCTTTGTAGGCGGCGGGAGCTGAGGGACATGCGAGAACTGAATCAGAGGACCCGGGGGTATTTTCCCGGCGGGGACTCTCCGATGCCTAAGTTAGCATTC